CAACAGAGCGTACCCTCCATCAAAAGGGACTCGTGACATATCCCATTCAAATATCAGAAACATATATATATATACAGTTGTTGTTTGCGTCAAACTCATCTCAAGGTTTTATTGTTGAAATCCAAAGTTTTTGCATATAAACATACATGTCTATGTTCATGTATAGCAACCACCATAAAAACACAAAGTATTGAATTGATCACTACTTTAGTGGATCTTACTTTTCTATTATATACATATATAGTATCTGGTTGAATTATAAGAATTCACTAACCTGAAAATAGCTATTTACTTGTAGAAAGGAGTGCACTGCCCCTGCTCAAATTTGCCATTTGGGGATGATTCCCCGAATCCAATTTCCCATCATTCCTCTGACCGAAAACAGTGAGGTCATTCTAATTCATCCAGAGATTTATGAGTTTGTCTGAAAATATGGTCAATATGGTACCCCAAAAACCCATCTGTATCAACATTTTCCTAACTATATCACTTGTTATTTCAGCGGTATACCCCAGACAAACCCATATTGTGCATATTTCATATCAACTTGGTTATATCCATGATATCCTATTATATCCGTATAATCCAGCAGGGCCAATTAGTACTTGCCCACTTCCCCCCTCACGCCTTAGACAACGTCGTATAGCCTAGGCAGATCCGGCGAGGGCATCGAGAAAAAACCCTCCAGTACTTCATGGGTTTCCCCAAAATGATCTACAAATGCTGGAGTTTGCATATGTTGAACCCTCAAATGATGCAGAAAATGTATGAACATGGTCCATTTGCAACTATGTTCTTATATAGTAAGAGCTTACTTTTCTATCTTTCTGAGGATTGCTAAATCTACAAATATGTGGGGTCATGTTCTCCCTTAAAAGGCAATTTGGGCGTATAAACCATTTCAGGACAAACATATATACAAATATACACATTCCTGGCAGAAGTTGCAGGTGCATATAGATAGATAGTTGATAGACATATAGAGTACACGTATGAAATGCTATAAATATACAAAAACATATATGAATATGATGATGATGATGATGATGATGATGATGGTGATGATGGTGATGATGGTGATGATAGCGGTAATAGTGATGATGATGGTGATGGTGATGGTGATGATGGTGATGGTGATGATGGTAATGGTGATGGTGGTGATGATGGTGTTGGCGATGATGGTGCTGGCGATGATGATGATGATGATGATGATGATGGTGATGGTGATGGTGATGGTGATGGTGATGATGGTAATGGTGATGGTGGTGATGATGGTGTTGGCGATGATGGTGTTGGCGATGATGATGATGATGATGATGATGGTGATGATGATGATGATGCTGGTGATGATGATGATGATGATGATGACGATGACGATGATGATGATGCTGATGATGACGATGATGATGATGATGGTGATGGTGATGGTGATGATGGTGATGGTGATGATGATGATGATGATGGTGATGATAGTGATAGTGATGATGATGGTGATGGTGATGATGGTCATGATGGTGAGGATGTTGATGATGATGATGATAATGGTGATGATGGTGATGGTGATGGTGATGGTGATGATCATGATGATCATGATGATCATGATGATCATGATGATGATGATGATGATCATGATCATGATGGATGATGATGATGATGATGGTGATGGTGATGGTGATGATGATGATGATGATGATGGTGATGATAGTGATAGTGATGATGATGGTGATGGTGATGATGGTCATGATGGTGATGATGTTGATGATGATGATGATGATGATAATGGTGATGATGGTGATGGTGATGGTGATGATCATGATGATGATGATGATCATGATGGATGATGATGATGATGGATGATGGTGATGATGATCATGATGATGATGATGATCATGATGGATGATGATGATGATGATGATGATGATGACGATGACGATGACGATGACGATGACGATGATGATGATGATGATGATGGTGATGATGATGATGATGATGATGATGATGATGATGGTGGTGGTGGTGGTGGTGATTTATTTCATGGAAAATCCATTTATAAATGGATGATGATAGGGGGTACCCCCATTTTAGGAAACCTCGATGTATACTGTAGCAACCCTCAAATAGATCAGTTGGCCGCACCAAGCAGCTTGGCATTTCGCGAACGTCCAACGCGCTGCCGTAAGTGTGTCCTCGGGGTGCCGACTTGTCCTCCACGCCACGCGTGGCTTGAGCCCAAACTGGGTCCGGCGTGCAACGAAATTGGGCATGAGAGGAATAAGATGTATCAAACCATCCCTTGGTTTCAAGTGGAAGGAAACGGCTTTCCTGATGAATTTTCCCTCCATTAATTATTTTGAGTGTGTTCCAAACCCATCACCCATCCGTATGCTCAAATTGAGTGTTTCGTGTGAGTCTTGGAGTCTTAATATCTGAACCATACCCCATTCTAACAATCAGAAACGAGGCAGCAGCTCCCAGCGTTTTCCTGCAGTTTTGGGTCAAAGATCATTAACCAGATTCAGCCACCTGCTGTGACCAGTAGAGCCTGCCACTTGGTCTGGGCATGGCCACTGCATGGCTCAAATTTCCCCCAAAATTTCCACATGTTTTCACTGTTCGCTGTTTAAATAGCAAGAATCAGAAAGATGACCAGTTATCTCACTGGTATCCCATCGAGCCATCCCAGAATCCTTTTTTTGTCTACCGTCTATCTTTGACAGCTAGGTGGGACGCCGCAGCCATCGCCTACAGGAGAAGTATTCGGAGCGTGATCGAAGCTATACTCAGGCAAACAATACTGGCCCTTGCAGATTTCTGTAGTTGATGTTCTCATGAAAATTAGTACTGAATCATCGAGTTCATGTTCCCATAAAAGATTCTTTCGATCATGGAGATAGCCAAGATTGCATCAGCGTGACATAGCCGCTGGAGCTTCGGAGCTAAAAGTGGTGTCTGAAGACAGATGTCTTACCGGGTACACCAGCAATGCCATTTTGTGTGATGTTGGTGTTTTATATGGTATGAGTTAGCTATATTGTCATGAACCCAATAGAAAACAGGGTTTTCATTGCTCTTGAAATTTGCTAAGGTATGAGTACAAATCCACCTGCACTCCTGGGATGTGAAGTAATTTAAGTGTACTATCCTACAAAACGACATCCCAAAAGGAGTGACAACACGGCATTCTGCAAATCGCGAGGAAAACCAAGCACGATGATGACGTCAGTCGTGGATCTTTCAAGGGAGAACCAAAATACAACGTGCCTGTAATGATTTCACGAAATCAAGCCACAAATATGATCAAATATGTGCATATATATATATAATGGTTGCAAACAACCAACAACCATTCACTATTCACCTAAATTAAGTTTAATAATTACCCTCTGGCAATCATGGCCGTCGCAATGGAAATTCCGATTTTTGATTATCTACACATGACCCACCTTAGATACCACACAAATGAATCTTTTTGTTGGGGTTCAGATTTTCTCGCATTTATGGCCATATGGCCATCCAAACCAAGGTTGACCATATATGATATATTATGATATATGGCTTTGTCCAGTTTCTCCAGTTTGGCAAACAAACCCCAAGACTCCATGCCAGTAGGTCTTGAGCATCCTTGAGCCAGGGATGATAGAAATCCCCGGGGATTGAAGGTATCTTTGAAACCACAACGGGTAGCCATGGGGAAACCACGCTCAGCTCTGCGGGGAGAACAGGGGACCCCTGGTGTTCACACCGCTGCCCTCGCTCCGGCGCGGAGTCCGCGGAGTCATAGGCGCCCGGCGCATCTGCGGCCGTTGGGTCTCCACCAATCTCCAACTGATGAGATAAGATCCCCAAAGTCATGAGTTCAGAATTCCAAGTTTAGGGATGTTTAGGGTTCCCAATGGTTCCCATTTTTGATACTGAAATTACTGGTTTACCATTTCTCTTCTCACCCACTGCAGCCGGCCTGTGAGGTGACGGGCCTCAAATCACACCGTGGAGCACAGTGGGATGACCCCCATCATATCACCTGGGGCACCAACCTCTGCTGGACATCCTTGATCAGCCCCTGACCTGGGCGGCGCGAAGGCTGCGCTGGTGTGTAGTCACTGGTGGAAACATACTGATCTTTCTGGAAAAATGGAGCCGAAAATGCCAGGCGTTGAATGGAAAATGGATTTTACCCTCTGGTTATGTCAAAATAGCTATTGAAAATGGCCATTTATAGTGAGTTTTCCCATTAAAAATGGTGATTTCCATAGTTATGTTAGTTTACCAGAGGGTACCGGATGCTGTTCTTTTGCTGACGGTAGAGAGAGGTTCCTCAACATTCAACAGGCTCTAGCCGAGTACGAGTACGATTCCAGGCGTGGGATTGATGGATGCACGTCCAACCTTGAGGGAAATGATTTATGGCTACAATGGTGAGGCATCTTATCCCTCCAATCTTAAATTCATGAATAGATCCTATCCCAGGGCTTCTACGACGATCCATCCACTCTTCAACTGGGGGATATCACACTTTCCAATTTATTACACTCCATCTATCACTTACGTGGCGCTAGAACGGGTGGTGTCCAGCTGTTAAATTTGCCGCTTAGCCTCGCTGATAGCGGTGGAGGTTGGGACAACGGAACACACCGTACTGTCCCTCCTTTTCAGCTTGACTTAACATCTGTTCGACAAAAGCACTGCACAGCTCTGTCGTACATTGGCGCACTGACACGCGAGCTCCTTCCCTCAGTACATGATGTGGTGGGAGGACCTGGCAGCCTGCCAAAGTGCACGGACTTCTGTGCCTTTGCGACTTGGGTAAAGCGTGGCTGCCAGTTGGTAGTCCAAGCTACTGTATCTAATCCAAGCCCAAGAGATTGGTCAACTGCAGAGCTTCCCTTCCCAGGTCCCAGGCAGTAGAAACATCCGAACCCAATCAGACTGGCCCCAAGAGCAAAATGAGCAAACCACCTGGCCTGCTTTTGCAGGCTTCCAGAACGCTGGTCACAAGGCCCTTATTCTTCAGCTGGTGCCAAATTGCGCAGAAGCATAACGCGCAGGGCTTGGTGGTGGTGTTCCCACCTGCCACAGGTGGAGTTCGACGACAATCGCACAGTGCAGCGATGGCTTTTGTCTGAGAATAAGGAAACGCCCCAATCTCATGATTTATCATCACTTTCCCTTTCAAATTGGCCGTAAATGGAGGTATACCCCATTTTCAGTCACACCCAAATTAGATTAACTAGATAAATAGTCGGTTTCGTGTCCCATTCTCCCATAGATCTCCCATGTTTTTCCTATGCTTTAATGCCAAGGTTCCGAGCTGCTGCATAGAAGGGTCCTGCCAGCGTGGCACCGGAGCCATCGTAGAGCTTGTAGAGATCCGGGGCATTGAAATATCTGGCATGTGCCAAAGGTGTGTCTCCCTCCGAATCACCTGAAAGGTGACACCCGGTGAGCACAGATGACCGAAAAGAAAAAACGTCGAGGAGCGGGGAAAACAGCGCAAGAGCAGGGTCTTGAAAGGTCAGAAGGTTCATTTTCCACAGATCAAAGGGTTCATTTTCATATGAAGCGAGTCAATATTGAAGATCGGTCTTAAGAGGGTAATTCAACATGCGGGTGTGTCTGAAAATAGGCTGCCTCATACTAGTTATGCGTCGTATTCTTTTAGTATCTGATGGCCAAAGTCGGAGGGTATACCGCATAGCCCATTTTCACCACACAGATGTGTCTTCCAGGATGTCATAGAAGATGTGGAAAATTTCTGAGGGTAACACAAAAGTAAGAAATGATAATCTGCTCAACCAGCTCTGGGCCACCTGCATCCAGGTTGGCTTTCTTGTGGATTAGCAGCTGGGCGACCTCATACATGCCTCAGCCGTTGAAAGCTGGGGAAAACGCCAGAAATTCAAGTTGAATCAACGAAAGAAAGTGGAATCCAACTCAACCTGCCCGACAAAATGGGATTTGACCAACAGAAATTCTGTCGAAGCCACATCAACCTGCAAATCGACGAACAAAAATGGGAATTGAATCAGTTAGATTAAGAATTGACCAACAAAATGTATCAAAATGTTGTATTTAACCCATATTTGCCCATCAAAATTGGATTTTGACTGGCGAGAAATAGAGTTTAATCAACAAACATTCCGCTTGAACCAGCAAGAATTGGGTTGAATCAGCATTTCACGCCATGATTTTTCCCACAAAAACCACTGTTTTCCCGCCGAAATCATGGGTCTGTCACAGTTTTTTGGGTCTAACGGTGCAGTGCCCACCTGGCTGCTTGTGATTCGCGGCACAGGCGTGCAGCAAGGTGCCATTTTCCGTCGCGCGGATGCCTTCACCTTCCAGTGACACTGAGAATCCCTTCCCAAATACCCCCAAGATTCAAAGTGGTTGCGCATTGGATCTATTCGTTCTGGGAAAACAACAATCTGGGTGGTTCTCCATCATTTTTCAGTTTTTAAAATAAATATATATAAATATAAAAATAAAAATAAAAATAAATATAAATATATATATATATATGTATGCCATTTAAGGGGAGCATTTCACCACAGCTGGTTGTTCGCCAGGCGCTCGCGGCGACTCTGACGACTCTGACGACCTCGGCGCAGCGGCAGATCTGGATCTGCACCAGCGATAAGATGTCTGGTGATTTCCAGCACTCGGCATTGCGTCGCCGCTTCACCTCGAAAATCAGGGTGGCCCAGGTGGCCCAGGCGGCCCAGTGGTCCCTAAAACTAGCGCATGACAGTTGAAACGAGAAATGTGCTAATCTACCAATTGGTATTTTAAGGTATGGACGGATGGATCAAATGAAATAGAAAATTGATATGGCGGTATGCAAATGGGTGAGACACATGTGTGCGATGCATTCGCAAAAATGTGATTGCACAAATGCATACATTGACATGAAGGTCTATTTATATGATACACATATAGTTAACTAATATTATGCATATGTGTAAATACAATCTGTATATAAATATATAATGTGTATATGTATATACACATATCGTGTAATTTTTAAATATATATATGCATATATATATATATTTATTTATTTATTTGCATATATATATATTTATATACAATATTTACCATATAGTATATATATATATACATATGTGCATACATATATATTCAATATATACAATATAAAAAATACAATATATAATGTAAAATGAAATATACCAGTAGTACCGCACAAGGCGGTGGCGGAAGTTTCAGAATAGGAAACCTATAGGAGAAGTTGGTTGTTGCGAATCAGGGATGGCAGAGCGAATCCACTGATTGACCGAAAGGTGGTTGAAGTTGTGTTTCCTAGAATGGTTGCAATGGTTGCAGTGGTCACCTCACCCACAACTGCTGGATGTAGTGTGATGTACTGCAACTGTAGTTGTAGCTGTAGCGTAGTGGAGTTGTAGTTGTGGTGTAATGTAATTAGTGTAGTGTAGTTGCAGTCATATAGTTGTAGCTGTAGTTGTTTTGTAGTTGTAGTTGTAGTTGTAGTTGTAGTTGTAGTTGTTGTAGTTGTAGTTGTAGTTGTAGTTGTAGTTGTTGTTGTTGTTGTTGTAGCTGTAGTTGTTGTAGTTGTAGTTCTAGTTGTAGTTGTTGTGTAGTTGTAGTTCTAGTTGTAGTTGTAGTTGTAGTTGTTGTTGTTGCTGTTGCTGTTGCTGTTGTTGCTGTTGTTGTTGTAGCTGTTGTAGTTGTAGTTCTAGTTGTAGTTGTAGTTGTAGTGTAGTTGTTGTAGTTGTAGTTGTAGTTGCAGTTGTAGTTGTAGTTGTTGTTGTTGTTGTTGTTGTTGTTGTTGTTGTGGTTGGTGTTGTTGTTGTTGTTGTCGTTGTCGTTGTCGTTGTCGTTGTCGTTGTCGTTGTCGTTGTCGTTGTCGTTGTTGTTGTTGTTGTTGATGTTGCTGTTGTCGTCGAAGTTAGGGTAGTTAAGTTAGTGAAGTTAGTTAAGTTAGTCAAGTTAGTCAAGTTAGTTAAGTTAATCAGTGTCTACTTTTTCGACATCTTCACGTCAAAAAAGGCTGAAAACCCTCAGTTGTTTACACTTTTGACTTCGAAATGTGCTTCGCGCCACAACGGCGTGCACTTTTTCGACACTTTTTCGACATCTGAACCTCCAAAAGTGGTCCGAACATGGTGTGTTGTGTACATTTTGACTTCAAAATGTGCTTCGCGCCACAACGGCGTGCACTTTTTCGACATCGCAACTTCCAAAAGTGGTCCGACCATGGTGTGTTTTGCACATTTTGACTTCAAAATGTGCTTCGCGCCACAACGGCGTGCACTTTTTCGACATCGGAACTTCCAAAAGTGGTCCGACATTGGTGCGTTTTGTACATTTTGCCTTCCAAATGTGCTTCGCGCCACAACGGCGTGCACTTTTTCGACATCTCAACTTCCAAAAGTGGTCCGCTCCTCTAGTGCTTTGTCCATTTTGACTTGGAAATGTGGTTCGCGCCACAACGGCGTGCACTTTTTCATGTTTCATCTGGCCAGCTGGCTCCGCACCCGCCGCTTTAGCGAGCCTACTTTTCGACCCTCCGGAGCCACAAATCATTGGAAAAACACAGTGAATCGCGACTTTCCTACCTTTTCGCGCATCTGCATCTTCTTTCTTCTGATCTTGTCTCTTCTGACTCTTCTCACCTCTGCTTTTCAACTGTCCATATTGTCGGAAGTTTCACTTCTAAACTTCCTTCGATAATATAATATATATATATATATTATCATATATAATCTTTTATGTAAAATGGAAAAATAATATATAATAAAAACTAAATAGTATTTAATATATCATGTATAATATAGAAAAAATATGTAAAATATATATAATATATAGGATATGATGAATAAAATACTGCATATTTTTATTCAAAATAAAATAGAAAAATATATAAAATATATATGATAGATTTAATATAGTATATTATATGCAAAAAAAGAAATGTATAATGTATAATTTATAATTTGTAATACATCTTATATATATATGTTTATCTTCTTTTATATATAATATACAACAAAATGTTTATAATATATACAATATATAAAATATAAAATATATGATATATATATATATATAATAATAATTTCAAATTATGTATATATATATATATTTGTTTTTGTTTATTCAATATTATGTGTAATATATATATACATATTAAAATATACATACATATATATATATTAAAATACATATATATATATATATATACATATATATATATATGTGTATATCTTAATTTATGTATATATGTACATTTATATATATATATGTATATATATGTGAAATATATATATGTATATATTTATATATACATATATGTGTATATATGTATATTGTGTGCAATCTCATAAAGATCGTGTACCACGCGATGCCTGCCTGTGATGTGTTTGGCAACAGACATGTTGGACTGGCCAACAGAATCTTCCCCGATCTTCGGGTATAGGTAAAACAATTTGACCTATGCGAAAACCCACTTGCACGACATCGGGGATTATTACCCAATGTGCTAAGCGCTAATCAGCAACTTCGGATTTGGGATGTCCAAATTGCCAGGGCTGTATCTGTTTCTTTGGGACAGGTTGCATTCGGGTGCATTCCTGTGCATTGGCCCACAGTAACTTTGTCGAATACACGGGGAACATCATCCGCCCCCAGCCGTAGACAGATTCTCCTGATTCTATTTCTGATTCTACTCCGGAATCAGCATCTTCCAATGCGGTAAACCCAACAATCAACCTACCACCCAATTTTCATGATTTTGGATTGTGTTGACCCTTTTTGCATGACCAAAAACGCCCAGCCATCGCCCCAAACTATTCGACAGCAAAGCTCGAAGTGAAGGAGTTTTCGGCACCAAGTCCTGCCGCGTTGCGCTTCAACAAGGTGAACTGATCGCCGGAGTTTTCGTGTAGATTAGCAATATGATCGAAGGAAGTTTAGAAGTCAAACTTCCGACAATATGGACAGATGAAAAGCCGAGCTGGGCAGAGGCAGAGAGAAGAGGGGAGTAGAAGAGAGAAGATCACAGAAGAGAAAGAGTCAGAAGAAAGCAGATGCAGATGCGCGAAAAGATAGGAAAGTCGCGAAACACTGTGTTTTTCCAATGATTTGAGGCTCCGGAGGGTCGAAAAGTAGGCTCGCTAAAGCGGCGGGTGCTGAGCCATCTGGCCAGACGAGAGATGAAAAATTGCACGCCGTTGTGGCGCGAAGCACATTTCGAAGTGAAAATGCACAAAACACCTCAGTGTCGGACCACTTTTGGAAGTTGAGATGTCGAAAAAGTGCACGCCGTTGTGGCGCCAAGCACATTTCCAACTCAAAATGTACAATGTACAAAACACACCAGGTTCGGACACTTTTGTAAGTTCAGATGTCGAAAAAGTGCACGCCGTTGTGGCGCGAAGCACATTTGGAAGTCAAAATGTTAAAAACACTAGGGGTTCGGACCACTTTTGGAGGTTCAGATGTCGTTTCGCGTGGCAGGCGCAAGGGATTGTGCACCTCTTCAAAAGTGAGCAAAACGTGAGGGTTTTGTAGCATTTCGAAAAACGATGGCAGGCATGGGACATTTGAAGAGGATCTGCAAAGATGCATTTTCCGTGGCCGGCGCAGTACAAAAGACATGTTCATGAGAGATGTTAGGGGGTCAGGGCGCTGATTTCCTGAGAGGGGTTGCATTAGTGGAGTATCAGATCTTGAGGTTTGCTAAGATGATTTTGCGTGACAGGTGCAGCACTTCGTATGACCTGGGATGACTTTTTCGTGGCAGGCGCATTACTTTCGCAGGTGGACTGGAAAAATCGCAAAACGCATTGGTAGGAGGCTGTCAGCTCTGCACTCAACTTTCCATTTTGGAAGGAAGTCTCGCAGAATTGCTTCGTTTTGGAAGAGATCGCAGTGAGCTCGCGTGTGGCTTTTCTGCCCGCGTCGTTGCCATCGGGAAGAACGGGACACATGCAGTGATGCGCACCGCACGAGTGCTGACTGCGCGTGTCGCTTCTGACCGCGTTGGCCGGGACACATGCAGTGAAACGTGGGACACATGCAGTGAAGCGGGCAGCGTGATGCAATTTCCAGCAGCTGAGGTTTGTGTCGGGTAGTGTCCGACCGCGAAGATTTGCTGCGACAAGATAGATAGATATATAGATAGATAGATAGATAGATAGATAGATAGATAGATAGATAGATAGCTAGATAGCTAGATAGCTAGATAGCTAGATAGCTAGATAGTTAGATAGATAGATCGATAGATCGATAGATAGATAGATAGATAGATAGAAAGATAGATAGATAGACAGATAGACAGATAGACAGATAGACAGATAGACAGATAGACAGATAGACAGATAGACAGATAGACAGATAGACAGATAGACAGATAGACAGACAGATAGATAGATAGACAGATAGACAGATAGACAGATAGACAGATAGACACATAGACACATAGACACATAGACACATAGACAGATAGAAAGATAGAAAGATAGAAAGATAGATAGATAAAATAGATTAAATAGATAGATAGGTAGACAGATAGATAGATAGAAAGATAGATAGATAGAGAGATAGAGAGATAGACAGATAGACAGATAGACAGATAGACAGATAGACAGATAGACAGATAGACAGATAGATAGATAGATAGATAGATAGAAAGATAGAAAGATAGATAGATTAAATAGATTAAATAGATAGATAGATAGAAAGATAGATAGATAGATAGATCGATAGACAGATAGATAGATAGACAAATAGCTAGAAAACTAGACAGCTAGATAGATAGATAGATAGATAGAAAGATAGAAAGATAGATAGATAGATTAAATAGATAGATAGATAGATAGATAGATCGATAGACAGATAGATAGATAGACAAATAGCTAGAAGACTAGACAGCTAGATAGATAGGTAGGTAGATAGATAGATAGATGAACAGAGAGAGAGAGAGAGAGAGATAGATAGATAGATAGACAAATAGCTAGAAAACTAGACAGCTAGATAGGTAGGTAGGTAGGTAGATAGATAGATAGATAGGGAGATAGGTAGACAGACAGATAGATAGATAGACAGACAGATAGATCAGTAGGTAGGTAGGTAGATAGATAATCAGAGAAAGATAGAGAAACAGAGAGAAAAAGAGAGAAAGAGAGAGAGATCAAGCACCTTTCAGTCCATCAGTGGCTTCGCTCTGCCATCCCTGATTCACAACAACCAAGCTCTCCTATAGGTTTCCTATTTTTGAAACTTACGCCACCGCCTTGCGCGGTACTACTGGTATCTATGTATTAATATATATGTATTATGTGTACATATATATATATATGTATATTTATATACCAGTAGTACCGCACAAGGCGGCGGCGGAAGTTTCAAAAATAGTCAACCTATAGGAGAGGTTGGTTGTTGTGAATCACGGATGGCAGAGCGCATCCACTGATGGACCGAAAGGTGGTTGGAGTTGTGTTTTTTGAGGTGGCTGCAATGGTTGCAGTGGTCACCTCAACTGCTGGATGTAGTGTGGTGTAGTGCAGTTGTAGTTGTAGTTGTAGTTGTGGTGTGGTGTAGTGGAGTTGTAGTTGTAGTGTAGTGAAATTACTGTGTCGAGTTGTAGTTGCAGTTGTGGTTGTGGTGTGGCGTAATTAGTGTAGTGTAATGTAGTGTTGTGCACTGTAGTGTGGTACAGTCGGTATAGTGTAGTGTAGCCTTAGTGTAGTGCAATGTAAAGTAGTGTACTTGTATTTGTAGTGTAATTAGTGTAGTGTAGTGTCGTGTCGTGTAGTGTAGTGTAATGAAGTAATGTAGTGGTAGTTGCAGTTGCAGTTGTAGTGTAGTGCAGTGTAATTAGTTAATTAGTGTAGGTAGTGTAGCGTAATGTAGTGTAGTTAAAATTGTAGTTGTAGCTGTGGTGGTGGTGGTGGTGGTGGTGGTGGCGGTGGTGGTGGTAGTAGTAGTAGTAGCAGCAGCAGTAGTAGTAGCAGTTGTTCCTGTAGCAGTAGTCGTAGTAGTAGTAGTTGTTGTTGTTGTTGTTGTTGCCTGTCTGTCTGTCTGTCTGTCTATCTATCTATCTATCTATCTATCAATCTATCTGTCTATCTGCAAGCTTGAAAACGAAGCTATCCTTGAGACTTCCTAGGTTATTGAACTTGACAACATCAAAAACGCAGCAATTCTGCGAGACTCCTCAATCTTTGAACTTGACAACGTCAAAAACAAAGCAATTCTGCGAGACTTCCTTCAAAAATGGAAAGCTGAGCGCAGAGCTGACGGCCTCGTACCAATGCGTTTTGCGATTTTTTCCGGTCTACGTCTCTAAAGTATTGCGCCTGCCCCGAAAAAATAATGCCAGGTCATACGAAGTGCTGCACCTGTCACGCAAAATAATCTTCCCAAAACTAAAGATTTGATGCTCCAAAATGCAATCCCTCTCAGGAAATCAGCGCCCTGACCTCCTAACATCTCTGATGAACATGTCTCTTTACTGCGCCTGCCATGCGAAATGCATCTTGCCAGATCCTCTTCAAATGTCCCACGCCTGCCATCGTTTTTGGACATGCTACAAGACCCTCACGTTTTGCCCACTTTTGGCAACGCGCAGAATCCCTTGCGCCTGCCACGCAGAACGATCGAAATATGCTTCGCGCCACAACGGCGTGCACTTTTTCGACATCTCACCTTCCAAAAGTGGTCCGAGCCTGGTGTGCTTTATACATTTTGACTTGGAAATGCGCTTCCCGCCACAACGGCGTGCAACTTTTCATCTCTCATCTGGCCAGATGGCTCCGCACCCGCCGCTTTAGCGAGCCTACTTTTCGACCCTCCGGAGGCACAAATCATTGGAAAACACATTGTTTCGCGACTTTCCTACCTGTTCGCGCACCTGCATCTGCTTTCTTCTGACTCTTTCTCTTCTCTGATCTTCTGCTCTTCTCTTCTCTGACTCTTCCCACCTCTGCTTTTCCACCCGTCCATATTGTCGGAAGTTTGACTTCTAAACTTCCTTCGATAATATTTATATATATATATACATACGTGTTTGTGTACATCAATGTACACATCTCCGGATGGGTCAAAGTCACCCCACCCAGCTGGCGCACCGGCTCTTCTGCACCGATGTGCCGGAAGTCACGCGCCAGGTCGTCGCGACCTATACGAAGAGCTTTCTCTGCAAGATGCACTCTGCGAGAATTCTTCAAGTGGAGGTTTCCTGCAAATACAGTACCCCTAAATCATCCATGAAAAAATAGGATTTTCCATCACCATCCAGAAATGTTCCATGATTTTTCATGATGTTCCACTCTGGTAAAAATAGGAGTTTCCATGATGTTCCATGAACCATCCAGCTATTGGGGTATCCTCATTGATATAAACCAGCCGGCCTGTAGCCATGGCCATTAGAAGAGGAGTAAGCCCACCACATGGCAGGTAATCTTCTGGCATTTCCTGCAGGGCGAAAATCCGAAAATCCCATGGCAGGGCTGTGTCATTTTCGCTCAAAAAAAGTATGTATATATATATACATATATATATATATATTGAAAGGTGAATTTTGGAGTATACCCCATTTTTGGACTAACCTATATCTATTATATTTGGAAGCACAAAAAAATGAAATGGAGACCACTGAGATACACTCGGAGAGCAGGATCCTGGGATGCCTCTTGCGGTGGAACCAAAGGTAGGGACGGAAAGGACTGACCGAGGGAATCCAGCGTGGGCTGCGTGGGTTGGAGTCAAACTCCAGCAACAAACGTTCAAAATCCCGAAGATCTTCTTTTTAAAGTAGTGTTGTCTTTAGAAAAATGTGTCAAATCACCCTTGAGTTCCTCCCCCCCAAGAAAAAAGGTGGATTGCCTCCCCAACAAACACCCTACCATATGGCAGCACCTCCTCCATGTCTTCTGAGTGGACACTGGAGCTGCAGGCTTCGGACTCTTCCCCTGACGGCTGAAAAATGATAGTTAAGAGTGGATTTATTATGATCTAATGCGATATTACTGGTATTTTGCTGGGATATTCATGAATATGAGTGGAATATTGATCACCTTTTCCCCATGGAATGTGAATGGAATATGAATGGAATATTGATCACCATTGTCCCATGGAATATGCATGGAATATTGATCACCTTTGGAATATGCATGGAATATTCAGGGAACATGAAATGGAATATTCTGGGAATACGAGTGGAACATTGATCACCGTTTTCTCATGGGATATGCATGCAATGTTCATGAATATTAATGGAATATTCATGAACAAAAATGGAATATGAATCAACTTTTTTTCCAGATATACCAAGTTTACTATGAATAACTAAAACCCAAAGTAGCGCTTGAGGATGACGCAATGTCCCAAATCGGGAAAAATGGAGGGACGGGTTTGGATACCATCTACCTAACTCTTTTTCGCACCCCCCCAGCCCCAAAAAGATGAAGAAATGTAAAGTCCGAAAATATTGTTTGGTACTTTTTTCCCAATTTTCTTGGGCTTACTTGGTGGTTGACCCCAGGAATCCTAAGTTGCTCAGTTCCCAGTTCTCGGGTCCCATTATGGCACCTCCGGAGCTTGCATCCTTCATGTCCTCCTCGTTTTCCTTCTCCTTCGTCTCCTCAGTCTCGGTCTCCTTCTGCTCTGTGGGCTCTTCGGCCTGGCCATGGCTGGCTGATTGAAACTGCATCAATGATGATTTTCATGGGCTTCCTGACATTATGAACATCACCCAAATTGGGGCCCCTACTTCCTCACCAGCACTTGTGGTTCTGAAACGATTTTGAATCCGATCAAGGTGGTAAACCCAACTGCAGTAAGCTGTTCCGATTGGGGTGGCACTCAATAAACCAGGGCCTGAAAAAAGGTGTCTGCCAGGGCCGGTTTGCCAATTTTTTGGGCGTGGGTCATCTCAGCCACTACAAAATGGCTGGTAGATAGGGAAAAACCATGAAAAACCATTCAAATTCAAATGGGAAAATCCCCTGTATGAACCCAGCCACACATCACAACCTTCCATGCAACCAGCACCTTTCCACACCCAGAGATGGACACCTGTTCTTCAGTATCATCCCAATGCTCCAGATTCACCTGGAATGTGTTCGGATCAAGATTACTGACCCTAGAAAACTGGAACTTTGACGGGACTCAGTATCATAAACTGGATTGGAAGGGCGTATCGGTAGAAAGTTCAAATTCATTGACCAATATTGACCATCATTTTTTTTCTGCTGGTTCATGACCAAAAATACCCCATGTTCTGGGTCGGTACTCGATTTCCTGAGCCACACCCAGATGGGGTCCATCCACAGCATCCACAGCAAACTCCTGGAGTGATGGTCCAAATGGACGCTTTGTAGATCCTGTGATATCTACCATAGGATGACAGGAGCTACAAGTCCAGTCTGGAACCAAATGGAGCACCTCCCCTCCCCACAGAGGCACCGAAACGTCGACCATGGACTCTTTCTGAAGGCAGACAGGCGCACCCTCCTGGCGCTGATTTCATTACCCCATGGTACCCCAAGAATTGGATTGTTACTAAAAATATATTTACAGTATACATATAATATATCATAATGTATGTATAATATATATATATATATTTATTGCTGGTCCCCAATTAATTTGAACACATCCCGCCCATAGCCATATCTGGTTTTTTCAAAAGATCTCCCCTGGCACCTTCATGAGCTCATGCACCTGTCGGGTATCTCCAGCTGCAGTAGAGCGCACCAATCTGGCACGGGGCAGAAGGAATTGGAAGGCGAGAACAGTTGGGATGAAATCTGATATAATATTTGATAGAGCATCAAGATTGGAAGCCATAGAAGATATTGGGATTCCATCACATTGACATAAAGTGAGTGGGAATTTGCAAAAATACCTACGGCCCTACGGCTGACTAAAAACTGAGACTTCATCAAAAAAAGAAACGGATCTGATGATCCAAAGAGATCATCCCCCCTATTAGGGGCGGTTTTCCCCTGATCAATGACTAACCATCTGTGGCTTGCAAAGTAACCCATCTCTTCAAGAAAAGGGGGGTAGGGGAAAAACACCTCCTACAAAAGATGCCAAAACATGAAGTTCTTTCAAAATTTGAATAACCTGTGGTCTATGATACGTAGGTTTCATCAAAATGACCACAAAAATTGGGGTTTCTTCCGAGACAGTGCCATCGCAAACAGGGCACCTCAGAAACAGTTCTTCACGCTCCTTCTTGGTATATGGGCTTCTTAGCACCTCGGCGCCGTGGGAGGAAATTGGTGTCCCCATCACCCCATGTGACGGCTAGGTTCAAAATAGGTTCCCCCAATCACCGTCCCAAAAGACCAAGACCAGTGGCAGAGACAGTCACCTCTTCCATGTCTGGAAAGGCGTCTCGAAGCCTCAAGTCCAGACCATTCAACTTCACATGCTGAGGAACCCAAGAATTTTGGTGGCCAAAACGGCCAAACATAAAATTCAGATATTAAATCCAACTAGCCAACTTCTGTTGCTGTGTTGTTCCTCGACCCATCTCCATACGGGATGCAGTTCCACCCAACTTGTTTGGGTATCAAACTTGCATGGATTTTAGCTCAACATACCAATTGCCTCTCTCTAATTATCCATACAACTCTCTGATTTATTGCTGGCCCATGAATTTTCCAGAAAACAATCATAAATTCCCATCATTTTCAATCACTGCCCCTGCAGACTCAGCTTGGAGGCCGCAGCGATGGATCTTTAAAGACGGTCTCACCATTCACCAGGTGCTGCACTGCAATGGGAATCCCCATCTTGGTCCCTCAGGGCGCGCCGTTGGTATTGGGGCCCCATCTAGCTCCGTTTGTCGATGTTTCGGAGCAACCCAGGGAACCCATCAATCCTTCCCGGGTCTCCCGGGTCTTTTTGGGTTTCCCGGGTCTCCGGGCGAATCCAAAGGGCTACGTCCTTGAAGGTGTCCGAGGCCTCAAAGGTTCCCTCGATCGATTCGCCACTCAATTGCATCACAGTCACCTGCGGGGCCAGAAAGTTGCACCAAGGGTGAAAAAAGGCCACGACAGTGGCAAAATGTTGTTGCAATCTTGCAAAAAATCATGCGCCATGCGCCACATGTTTTTACTTCCCAGATTGGGATTAGCCCTATTCCACTGCTCCCGGAATTGGCCTTAGAATTTGTTTTCGCCATCAACTTTGTGAAAGCTTCACAACAAAAGAGAGCATATAACATAGTGTGAACCAAATTATTGACAAAAAATAGAATAGTATAACATCATGTAATAATATCATTATAACATTGTTGTATTACAATAATGAACCAACCACTGTGGGTCATTTCACCCATTTCACCATCATCCCAGTCAGCTTCCAGCCTTCATGGCGCTCTTTTTCAGAACAAAAAGACCGCGTGTCCGCGAGTCGATCGAACCGGACTCTTGGGTGGAAAATGCTGCCACAATGGGATTCGGGGATAGATAAATAACTACTATGTACATAAATATATATATATACATATTTATATATATATGTACATATATATATATATATATGTTAGTGTGTGTGTGCACAATCAAATATAGAACCACATAATTCCAAAAGGAATATAGGTACAATGAGTTTGCGTGTCTATGATATATGTAGCACCTGTTTTGCATATTGTATATGGGGATGGGTGAAGGCTTAACACCCCGGATAGCAGAACTGCTCGGCACAGGTCAGAGAAGTCTCCACTCGAATCAATGCATTTGGATCAAGTCCGGGAAACATAGCCACCCTCAGGGCATCTCAGGAAAACTCTCTGATCATGTCTCCATTTTCTCAAGATCAACGTTTCCCCTGAGTGTCCCGACTTGATGTAACGCCTACAATTTCTTCACCTGCGACAGACTGGAACGAACCAAATCATCTCACCAAACGTTAGACCTGCCAAAATTTACCAGGAAGCTAATAATTAGACTACTTATGACTACTTGGTGCACGATAAGTCAAAGGTCAAAAACCAATGTTCCACCTGCCCTTGACGTTTCAGGATCCATGGATGACCTTGGGATGTGGGGAGCCATCGCGCACCTGGTGGGCACAGAAAGGAGAAGCTGGGCACGGGATTCGCCAAGGGTCCTGCAGTGGCTCAAACGGAAACTCATCCTTGACATTTAGAACATGGAAGGACGACTCTAACCTTTTCTTCAATGGATTGGTTTAAGGGAAAATCTACAGGAAACCATAGATTTTCCCATTAAATATGGGGCTTTCCTGTAATTTTTCCCTTAAACCAATCCATTGATTTCTGGGAGGCATGCCATGCTGCCATGACATGTTCCTTCACCCCAAAACAGAACCCACCTTGTCGGTCCTCCCAGGTGTAGGAACCGTCCATTGGACGTGATCAAAATGATCCAGTCAGCCAAGCCTAAGCCCCGGCCACGCAGCATCCGAAGCCTCTCCTCAGCTGGACCCCAAAACAGTCCATGTTCAGTTTGGACTATCATTGCATTCAGGATGAAAAATATGGAAAACTCGACATATATTTGAAACCAGCTACCTTGCACACCAATTTGAAGCTCACATCCCGATTTCCAACACCAGCGACAGGATTCTTGATAGTTGCATATTCTATCAACATATATGTAATATATATATATATATACATACATAGATAGATATATGATGTGTATGTATATATATATATATCAACATATGTATATTATATATATATACAAATATGTATATATATATATCAACATATATACATACATGTATGTGTATGTATACATATATATATATATGTGTGTGTGTACTCAGCATTACTCAGCCCCATGTCAAGAGTTGGCTTCCCAGGCCAGTAAGCCCTCCCAAAAAAACACAAAATACAAAAATGCCAGGGAATCAGAAAAAAGTTTGACCAAAATTGCCAGTTATATTCCCATGGCATCCCCATTATGCTTGCATACCCTAAATGTGTTACTCCTTCGCATCTCAGGCACCCTAGGTTGAAGCTCCACCCTTCTCCATGGTCGCCCATCATCTAGGCCCTCGCGGCATCCAACTGGAAATTCACAGGCTTGTTGGAAAAACAAATTTGTTGGAAGGAGACGCAAGGAGACCTGAATTCTTTTCCAAAATTTCGATCAAATCTCTTTCGCAAAAATTGGGAGAAACCACAAAGCTGATTCCTAGCTGCTCCAGCATCAAAAACAATGGCATCGGTCGCATCAAAATAGCTGTTGTTTTTCTTTAAATGTTTCTCCCCAATATTTGAAAATCTCTCCCAAATCCATCCACAGATGGAAAATATGGTCTCCCTCCATCCATAGATCAATCCACATTGTCACATCATCATCTGCCATGACAGATGGGGACCGGTGACCCCGGGCGCCTCATCGGTGTTGAAGCGAAAACGCAGGGCTTCCACGGAGTCGATGCCGATCCATTCCACCGCCACCAATGCCTTGGTGAACCAGCATCCATCAAGATGTGTATATTATATGTGTGTGTGCATACCAACATACTTTACAGGCTCGTAGAAATAGAAACAGGTTTGTAGATATATATATATATATGTATGTATAATATACATATATATACATATATATAGAGATACTGGATAGATATATGTTATGTGTGTGTATCTAATAATCTAATATATATATGTATATATATATAATGTATATATATACACACATAGTTCCATAAACACAAAAAAGGTGACATGTTCCTTGTGATGCACAGATATGTCCTGCAACCAATCAGCTGGGGCTTCACCCGGCGACTCTGAGCCGCTGGGGATGGTGGTGCCTGGCGCCGGAGAACGTGGGAGAACTTGGAAGTTCTACACGTGGAATTATATTATATGTATGTATGTGTATGTATATTATTATTATTATCATTATCATTATCATTATTATCATTGTGATTATTATTATTGCTATATTAGGTACAGTATATATACATACATACAGTCATACAGCATCAAAAGATGATCATGACTCATGACGATGATGATATGATTGTGATGGTGATTGATGGTGGGTTTGGTGTTTTAATGATTTTGTTTTCAAATGGACTGTGTCAAGTCCCTGCCTGGTGGTATCCGTCGTGGGCTGTGTACCTGTAGCTGGAGGGATTGCTGGTTGGTTCATGCAAAAATCTGCAAAAATTTGGCCGGGATGGCCCAAAGAAAGATAGGACACAGGAGCCACAATTTCGGAGCTATTGTTCTTCTTCAAGTTTTTCCCCTGGTTTATTGACCAACAGGAGGAAACAAACATTGAAGAACAGATCTTTATCTTTCCTAAACGGACATCATTGTAAACCGCATATTTTGGAGGTTTCTGTGAAAGTCTCGGGCACAAAAAATATCACTCTCATGATCCATTTCGTTTTTGGACTGTGGAAAGATCCGTGTTTGTGATATCCCAAGTCACGCGCATAGCAACTGATTGTGGGATTGATAGCACCTGATGATGGGCTTGTATGCCTCAGCATTGTCCTCTCAAACTGTACAGATGGTCACTGGCGGTGTGGATGTTGAAATGACTTGAATCTGGATTTCACTGCAAGTATCACCTGAAAGCGCGATGTGAGTTGATGTAAAATATGTACACACCACCAGTTCACCAGGGAATGGAAACCGGCTTTCAGCATTGCCACTGCAGCGCCAAGATCGCCGAGTGACACTGCGTGAATGTGAGCCACAAGGCCGCTTCGGCGAAGAGCTACGGGAAGTTGTTGAACTCTGGCCTGGAACGGGAATTGGTGCATCACTGAACTGGTGGGACTGGAATCAGTCAATTCCCAGTCATTTCATCTCTGTTTTGATGGGGGAAAAACTCGATCCCAGGGGAAATGATCGGTGCTGAAAAGATGTGAGTCATACCAAATTACACCGGCATAGACCCCAGATAGAAAAGGTTGGAACTGATGGTTCAGTTCCCAACGTGGGAACCAAGGTTACCATGGCAAGGAACTGCCGGTTCCCAGACCTTGAAACTTACGGTTCCCAACCTGGGAACCAGAGGTTACCATTGCAAGGAATTGCCGGTTCCCAGAAGTTAGAATTTATGTTTTCGAAACTAAGCCACTATCATTGTAAGGAACTGCGGATTCCCAAAGTTTAAAAATCATGGTTCCAAACCTGAAAAAACATACGTTACCAGTGGAAAGGTCTGTTGATTGCAAAAAGTTAGAACTCATGGTTCTTAATGTTGTTTTGTTTTGTTTACTGAGCCGGTAACAGAACCTTTTGTTTTGCTTAATGTACCGGTAGCGGAATGTTTGCGTTTGGCTGTTGGGCCAGCAAAAAAATGTTTTTGCACGAAAAAGGTGCATGTCAAAATGATATGAAAACAGTTTCTTTACAATTTTATGGTTTTGCTTAATGGACCGGTACAGAACGCTTTGTTTTGCTTAGGCTTAATGGACCGGTACCGGAATGTTTGCGTTTGGTTCATGGCAAGGAACTGCCAGTTCTCAAAGGTTGGAACTCACTGTTGCCAACGTGGGAACCAAAGGTTACCATTGCAAGGAACTGCCGGTTCCCAGAGGTTGGAACTCCTGGTTCCCAAACTGGGAACCAAAGGTTACCACCTGGGAACCACAGGTTACCATTGCAAAGAACTTCCAGTTCCTAAAGATTGGAACTGATGGTTCCCAATGTGGGAACCAAAGGTTACCATGGCAAGGAACTGCCGGTTCCCAGACCTTGAAACTTACGGTTCCCAACCTGGGAACCAGAGGTTACCATTGCAAGGAATTGCCGGTTCCCAGAAGTTAGAATTTATGTTTTCGAGCTAAGCGGCTTTCATTGTAAGGAACTGCGGGTTTCCAAAGCTTGAAACTCATGGTTCCAAGCCTGAAAAAGTAACGTTACCAGTGGAAGGATCTGTTGATTGCAAAAAGTTAGAACTCATGGTTCTTAATGTTGTTTTGTTTTGTTTACAGAACCTTTTGTTTTGCTTAATGGACCGGTAGCGGAATGTTTGCGTTTGGCTGTTGGGCCGGCAAAAAAATGTTTTTGCACGAAAAAGGTGCTTGTCAAAATGATATGAAAACAGTTTCTTTACAATTTTATGGTTTTGCTTAATGGACCGGTACAGAACGCTTTGTTTTGCTTAATGGACCGGTACCGGAATGTTTGCGTTTGGTTCATGGCAAGGAACTGCCGGTTCCCAAAGGTTGGAACTCCTGGTTCCCAACCTGGGAACCATGGGTTACCATTGCAAGCAACTGCCGGTTACCAGAGGTTGGAACTCATGCTTCCCAACCTGGGAACCATGGGTTACCATTGCAAGCAACTGCCGGTTACCACAGGTTGGAACTCATGCTTCCCAACCTGGGAACCATAGGTTGCCATTGCAAAGAACTTCCGGTTCCTAAAGGTTGGAACTGATGGTTCCCAACGTGGGAACCAAAGGTTACCATGGCAAGGAACTGCCGGTTCCCAGACCTTGAAACTTACGGTTCCCAACCTGGGAACCAGAGGTTACCATTGCAAGGAATTGCCGGTTCCCCGAAGTTAGAATTTATGTTTTCGAAGCTAAACAACTATCATTGTAAGGAATTGCCGGTTGCGAAAGCTTGAACCTCATGGTTCCAAACCTGAAAAAGCATACGTTACCAGTGGAAGGATCTGTTGATTCCAAAAAGTTAGAACTCATGGTTCTTAATGTTGTTTTGTTTTGTTAACAGAACCTTTTGTTTTGCTTAATGGACCGGTAGCGGAATGTTTGCATTTGGCTGTTGGGCCGGCATAAAAATGTTTTTGCACCAAAAAGGTGCATGTCAAAATGATATGAAAACAGTTGCTTTACAACTTTATGGTTTTGCTTAATGGACCGGTAAAGAACGCTTTGTTTTGCTTAGGCTTAATGGACCGGTACCGGAATGTTTGCGTTTGGTTCATGGCAAGGAACTGCCAGTTCTCAAAGGTTGGAACTCACTGTTGCCAACGTGGGAACCAAAGGTTACCATTGCAAGGAACTGCCGGTTCCCAGAGGTTGGAACTCCTGGTTCCCAACCTGGGAACCAAAGGTTACCATTGCAAGCAACTGCCGGTTCCCACCTGGGAACCACAGGTTACCATTGCAAAGAACTTCCAGTCCCTAAAGGTTGGAACTGATGGTTCCCAATGTGGGAACCAAAGGTTACCATGGCAAGGAACTGCCGGTTCCCAGACCTTGAAACTTACGGTTCCCAACCTGGGAACCAGAGGTTACCATTGCAAGGAATTGCCGGTTCCCAGAAGTTAGAATTTATGTTTTCGAAGCTAAGCGGCTTTCATTGTACGGAACTGCAGGTTCCCAAAGCTTGAAACTCATGGTTCCAAGCCTGAAAAAGTAACGTTACCAGTGGAAAGATCTGTTGATTGCAAAAAGTTAGAACTCATGGTTCTTAATGTTGTTTTGTTTACTGAGCCGGCAACAGAACCTTTTGTTTTGCTTAATGGACCGGTAGCGGAATGTTTGCATTTGGCTGTTGGGCCGGAATAAAAATGTATTTGCACGAAAAAGGTGCATGTCAAAATGATATGAAAACAGTTGCTTTACAACTTTATGGTTTTGCTTAATGGACCGGTACAGAACGCTTTGTTTTGCTTAATGGACCGGTACCGGAATGTTTGCGTTTGGTTCATGGCCAGGAACTGCCGGTTTCCAAAGGTTGGAACTCACGGTTGCCAACGTGGGAACCACAGGTTACCATTGCAAGCAACTGCCGGTTCCCAGACCTTGAAACTTACGGTTCCCAACCTGGGAACCAGAGGTTACCATTGCAAGGAATTGCCGGTTCCCCGAAGTTAGAATTTATGTTTTCGAAGCTAAGCGGCTTTCATTGTAAGGAATTGCCGGTTGCGAAAGCTTGAACCTCATGGTTCCAAACCTGAAAAAGCATACGTTACCAGTGGAAGGATCTGTTGATTCCAAAAAGTTAGAACTCATGGTTCTTAATGTTGTTTTGTTTTGTTAACAGAACCTTTTGTTTTGCTTAATGGACCGGTAGCGGAATGTTCGCATTTGGCTGTTGGGCCGGCATAAAAATGTTTTTGCACCAAAAAGGTGCATGTTAAAATGATATGAAAACAGTTTCTTTACAATTTTATGGTTTTGCTTCATGGACCGGTACAGAACGCTTTGTTTTGCTTAATGGACCGGTACCAGAATGTTTGCGTTTGGTTCATGGCAAGGAACTGCCAGTTCCCAAAGGTTGGAACTCACGGTTGCCAACGTGGGAACCACAGGTTACCATTGCAAGGAACTGCCGGTTCCCACAGGTTAGAAGTCATGGTTCCCAACCTGGCAACCAGAGGTTACCATTGCAAGCAACTGCCGGTTACCAGAGGTTGGAATTCATGCTTCCCAACCTGGGAACCATAGGTTACCATTGCAAAGAACTTCCAGTTCCTAAAGGTTGGAACTGATGGTTGCCAACGTGGGAACCAAAGCGCAGCACGCTGCACAGCACGCTGCACAGCACCCTGCACAGCACCCTGCACAGCACCCTGCACAGCACCTCTCACAGCACCCTTCACAGCACCCTGCACAGCACCTTTGCGAGACTTCGCCACCGCAGTCTGGATAGCACCCTGCACAGCACCCTGCACAGCACCTTTGCCAGACTTCGCCACCGCAGTCTGGACAGCACCCTGCACAGCACCCGGCCTGCACAGCACCCTGCACAGCACCCGGCCTGCACAGCACCCTGCACAGCACCCTGCACAGCACCCTGCACAGCACCCTGCACAGCACTTTTGCCAGACTTCGCCACTGCAGTCTGGACAGCACCCTGCACAGCACCCTGCACAGCACCTTGCACAGCACCCTGCACAGCACCCTTTGCCAGACTTCGCCACCGCAGTCTGGACAACACCCTGCACAGCACCCTGCACAGCCCCCTGCACAGCACCCTGCACAGCCCCCTTGCACAGCACCCTGCACAGCACCCTGCACAGCACCCTGCACAGCACCTTTTGCCAGACTTCGCGACCGCAGTCTGGACAGCACCCTGCACAGCACCCTGCACAGCACCTTTGCCAGACTTGCCACCGCACTAGTACAGCACCCTGCACAGCACCCTGCACAGCACCTTTGCCAGACTTCGAAACCGCACTCTGGACAACACCAAGCAGAGCACCCTGCACAGCACCCTGCACAGCACCTTTGCCAGACTTCACCACCGGACTCTGGACAACACCCTGCAGAGCACCCTGCACAGCACCCTGCACAGCACCTTTGCCAGACTTCGCCACCGCAGTCTGGACAACAGCCTGCACAGCTGCACAGCACCCTGCACAGCACCCTGCACAGCACCTTTTCCAGACTTGGCCACCGCACTCTGGACAACACCCTGCACAGCACCCTGCACAGAACCCTGCACAGAACCCTGCACAGCACCCTGCACAGCACCCTGCACAGCACCTTCGCCAGACTTCGCCACC